TTGAAAAGATAGTGTATCATTAAAGTTCGTATATCATAAAAATAAAAGACAATAAATACAAACAATATTACTTACTTAACTGCACCACATATTGTGAAAACAGTTAGTAAACTCATGAGAACTTAAGGTGGCCATAAAATCAGGGAACCTTTCATTAAAGTAGTCCTTTAGGAACTTCTTAAGTTCATCTTGAGTAGGATAGATCACTTGCGAGAAAAGGCGTTTAGCAATGCTAATGTACATGTTCTGCAAAAATGTAAAAAACACTCAATATATACCCTAAATATATCTATACATTTTTTTTTATAACACTTACATCCCACACTTTCACCGAGAGATCAGAACCTGAAACATTTTGATCATTCCTTTGATCTCTCATTTCCCTCCTAAAATCTTGAAGGTCATCACTTAGCTTCTTGATTAGGAGATACAGTTGGCGGTTTTGGGTAAATAAATGTTCCCGGTCTTCTTTTTTATGGTGGTGGCGTTGTAAACGAGCTCAAAAACCAAAAAAAAAAAAAAAAGGTTATGATCCTAGGGTGCCCTTATATCAAGGAAATTCCAGACTGCATATCACTGCAGATCACTACCAGCCTGGCTTCGGTGGCCGATTCTTGACCTGTGATTTTGACTGTCAGTCAATTGACAGTATCAAGTAAGTGTGATCGTTTGTGAAATCTAAATAAATACTGTCGCACATATATATAGATCTATACAGTATTGATATTGTACTATTTAACAGCTAATTATTATTTTTTTATAATGTTTAATCATTAGCGATTTTATTTAATTATACAAAAAAATGTTATTAATTTCTTCAAGCTTATTGATAATAATTTTTCTTTTATTCAAAGATATATCCTCCAAATTACTTTCATGGTGAAGTGATATTAAGTGTTTCAGTAGTTAATCAATAGAATTATTGACTTCTTCTAGCATTTCACTTTGACCAACAACATTAATATCTTCAAGTTGCTTTCCATTGCCTAAAGGTAAATAAGTATTTTGCTCTATTAACTCAATGTTATACTTACACGAAACAGCAAATATGTATTTACAAGAAGTAGGATTTTTTAGGTATGCTTTACAATTACAGACGAAATCATCACTATAATGTTCAACTATATAATCACATTCACTTTGGGTTAGTTTAATAATAAACACAGATTCATTTAACTGAAAAATTGAATCATCATCAATATTAATTGAATTGATTTCAAATTTTTGAGAAATTCTGTTATGCAAGCCCATCTTTCCAATATTTAACTCATATCGAATTGTTTCTTCACGATAGTCTCTTAAAATTTTCACAGCCAACTCATTAATGGGAAAATCAATGCATCGATTAAGATGCATTACAAGATACATATGTTTAATCTTTCTATGATAAGCTTCGATATAATTATTAGTATTTGTACCACGAACATAGTTATGATGATAAGATTTAATCCACATTTCTGCAATTAAAATTTTGTTATAATAAATTTAGATAAAGAATAAGAAAATATTTAATTTACCTTTTTTTTTTTTATATTCAAAAAAGTATTGTACTGCTAATATATTTTGCCATTTTTGTTCGAATTTACTAATAGTGACATCTACCTGATTTTCATTTTCAATATTAAGTAACTGGTTCAGATCATGAAACAAACTATCATGATTCTCTTTTTTCATTTTTTTAGAAATCTATCAGTGCCAAGCATGCTTCAAATGCCACCAACACAAAAAGATCTTTGATTGAGAAAATATACTATGAATAGCACTTATCTCTGCATCATCATTATCTAACATTACAGCTCTTGGCTCCTCCCATCCATTTTTCTTCAACATACGAAGCCATATTTTGATTGTTTCACTATTACAAGATTCAGAAATTAACTATGCCAAAGGTACTCCACGTCCACTATAAAGGTGCCTTATTAGAATTGTAAAAAGGTAGTATTTACTTAAATTTGTATTATAGATGGAGTCGATATGAATGAGCTAAAAAAAAAGTTTTTTATTTAGTTCTAAAACGTCAATTGAGAGTGTTCTCAAGCAGCTCCCTTAATGTGATTAGCTAGTGATCGAGATGTTGCTTAAAGCATTATGATTAATTGAGTGGTTATTGCAGTTAATCGAAAAATAAATTGTTAAAAATTCATTATTCGAAATGCAGATTTTAAATCGAGCAGCTCTATAAAAAAATTGGTAGTTGCAACTTCAGGTTTTTATGACCTAAGTGATAATCATGATCCATTTTTTGGCCAGTCAGATCGTTTTGTAAACACATTGAGGGAGACGCTTGAGAATGATCTAAAAAGTTAGTGTAAGTTAATTTTTTTTTTTTGCATAACCCACCAACCTATCTATAATTGTGTCAAATTTATAATTTTGTATAAAAATGTGATCTAAATTTTTTTAAGAATTCAAAAATATGTCAATTAGAGGTTTTAGAATTAACTTATTTTGAAAATAAGGAAAGTTTAAAAGATCATATTTCTGTTTTAAGATTTTGAAACAGAAAATTAAATGTGTAGCCGGGATTAACTTAGCATCTTCAGAGACTGTTAATATTACACATATATTAAAACTGGTAAGGGATTATAACCATTACAATTGAATCCAACAGAGGGATTCACTTTAGATCAGGTACTGTCTCTGTTGTATCTTTTGATAAATATCTCCTAGTAATCAGTTATGTAAACACAAATATACAGTATTTTTTTAAAAAAAATAGGATTTATATGTCACTTATTTATCTGAAATCGACATTGAATAATTAATTCTGAAACCTTTAATTATTTAGTTCAATTTTTGCTTATTTATTTGAACTAATTTGTGGTTCTTTATATTTTTTAACCTGTAATAAATTTTAAAAATTTTAATATATTTTATTTGATTTACTTAAATCTGCAAATATTTTATTTATTTACTTACTGATTTATAGGTTGTTTCATAATTATTTAATGCAAATACATTCTTTTGAAATAAATATAATTTATATTAATTCCAAAACTCTTAGAATTTAAATTCAAAGGAGATTCGGAAATTTTAGACATAAACAGTATGATTATAAATAGGTTAGCATATATTAAAAAAAATCAAATTCGCGATGTTATGCAAAACTAAAAATTAATTTGCACGTTCAAGAATAAGAAACTTCAAATATATAAATTATTAAATTGTTAAATTGTTGTAATACCTCATGGTACTTTTGATATAATTTAAGTTGCCAAGGTGTATAGAACCTGAGTAGAAATTTCTGGTTATCATTATGCATCTGAAAACATGAAAGTAATGGGTCATTTAAATTTTCTAAATTATTTCTGTTTTTTTGCAAAATTTCAACCCAATGTAGCATGCTTATTGTGTCAACATTGTTATAACGATATTTTGTATGAATTTCCTTATATAAAATATTATAGATATCTTCATAAGTGAGCAGCTCATCTCAACTTGGGATAACTTCTTTTGAAGTAAAATATCTAAATATGTAATAAGGTTAATTAGTAAGAAACTTTTTCAATTTAATTGTCCTTATTTAGACTTGTCGTCTATAAAGAAAAAATTATAAAATTAAAATCTATAATATATAATTTAATTCTACATAATTAAAACATATTTGCTGGTTATCGTTATTGATTTACAGTATGCATATACGTACGAAATTATATTTATTTGTATATCACTTCTAGATTTAATTTATGCATAGTATTAACTTTTAAAGTTATTTTTATATAAAAGTTTCATTCAAAAAAAATATAATACCGTAATATTAAACTCTAGTTTTGAAAAAAAATTTCCAACTTAATAACAAGACATACCTTTCTGTTAGTTCCTCTGGTGCCTTCATTAGTTGACGGATAGCAGAAAGCGACAATCCTTGACATGCAAATTTTTTTATTTCAGCAATGATTTCTTCAGATTTTTTCAAATGCTGAATATTATCACGGCTCCCGGGAGTATGTCCATTATGAACATATTGATAATGGATTATTACAACGTCATGAGAAAAAATAGATGGCTTATAATGTATTCGTATCTCACACCAACAGCCAACTTTCTTTGACTTTTTTTGTACTTGATGCTTTTTTGTGAGTTTCCTCTTTCTACACGATCATAGTGTATTTGCTTTTCACCAGCACGAGAACAAACATATAGTTCAGTCCAGACACCTGATGCATTATTCTTATATGTTCCTTGAGGTTTTATAAAGTTTATTTTTTTAGTTGATTTTTCCTTCTTTATTCGTGCATAATATGTTTGAAGAGGTAAAGTAAATTTGCGATACTTGTCATTTTCTTCAAATATGTATAGAGATTGTGTATTAGAACAGGTTTGAGTATGATTTATTAGAATATCTGTGAGTTCTCGTATTTTTTCATTATCATCATCCGTATTGTTAACTATAATAGAATCAATAGTATCTACAATAGTATTAGAGTCGTAATCATTAACAGCTTCCATGATAGAGAAAGTAGGTAACCTCAAATTTTTTTTTTAAATTGTTATTTCATTTATTTTGGGTTTAAGTCAAAAAAAATAAAATGATATCTAAAATTTTGGTATCTTATTTATATATGCTTGCTAGCAAAAATAAACAAATCCAAACCTTAAAAAAACGAAATTGCTTTTACTTATAAAAATTCAAATCAACAAAATAATTTTAATATTTTGTAAATATATTATATCACTATATTATATAGCTATAAGAATATATATTAGTTTAAATAAAGATTATTAATAAAAAATAATCAATACGTAAAGTTTTTGAGATATTAGAGCTTAAGATTTGGGTGCAGACAAACCCAAACTATAATAGTTTGGAATTTGGCTGGCAAGCATATAATTATACATATAGTCAGTTTTTTTCAATTAGCATTAGTAACTATAGGAATTTTATAATGTATTATATTCATATGTACTTACATAAGTTACATAATTAATTCGCAACTAATATGATAATAAATAGCTGCATATAGCTTTATTATTGATCGAAATAATGGTCTATTCATATTTATTACGCATTACTTTGATACAGCACCAGAAATCTACTTTTCGTTAAGATAATGCACATATTTCCTGAATTATCAGCCTTAACAATAAGAATATGCACCAGTATTATAATAGCATTTGATATTGTGTCTATGAATTCTAGTAATAGTAGTAGATGCATATGAAGTGAATATAAAAGAAAATGGTTAGCTTTTGGTCTACTGTTGGCATAATGATTGCTTACTCCAGAATGTTTGCGATATGCTTAATGACTGCAATATTCATGTGTATATTTTAGACAATAAGACGAAATTATATGAAATTTGCTTTACTAAAATTTATATATTAATGTTGATATTAACATTCATATTAACATTCAGGTTTATTATATGAATTTTGATATTTTAGAATTTATTAAAATATCACGAGATTCACATGATAAACCTGAATTATTAAAACCGGTTTCAATCTCTATAATAAAGAAGATCAAAATAAAATCAGCAAAATCAATGCTTTCTATATAGAGATGTTATTAGCTTCACTAAAAGTTGGCTTTAGCTATAGATTTATAAGAAGCCAAACTAAAACTAAGCTAAATGATAGTTAAGTTATAATTCTAGATGATAGTTAAACTATAATTCTAGATGATAGTTAAACTATAATTTAAGTCAAGACTTTAATAATAGTTTGAAAATTATTGGTATTTAGCTTTAGTTGTAACTTGAGCTATAACTTAAAATAGGTTAAACCTATAATTTGAGATAGTTTAAATCATAACTTTAAATAGCTTAAACTATGATTTGAAGTAGTTCAAGTCATGACTTTGATAGTATAATTTCAATAAATATTAGCTACTGTTTAAATATTCATTATTATATTATAACATATACATACTAGCATTTTATTAACATACTTTTGATTCAAAGGGCCAGACACTCAAAGGGCCAAGCACTCTTGATATTAGGTTTAGTAATTTTCACTAGAGAAATAAAATATTTCCGGTCTTAATATTCAAATAATATTAAATACGAACATTTTTATTACCGTTATTACCAATGATAGTACCAACACATATTAATATCAATGTTAGTATAAACATTGGTACCAATAGTTAATATAAACATTGGTACCAACATTAGTACTAACATTGGTACCAATATTAGTAATAACGTTTGTATAAATGTTAGTACTAACATTGGTACAAACGTTATTACTAACCTTAAGATGTTAATATGAACCTTAATACCAACATTAGTATGAACATTAATACTAATGTTAGTATGAACCTTAATGTCAACATTAGTATGAACATTAATACCAATGTTAGTATGAATCTTAATACCAATGTTAATATGAACCTTAATATTCTTAATACCAATGTTAATACGAACCTTAATACCAACGTTAGTATGAACCTTAATGACAATGCTAGTACCCTTAATACTAACATTAATACAAACCTTAATACCAACAGTAATACGAACCTTAATGCCAATGCTAGTACTCTTAATACCAACCTTAATACCAACCTTAATACCAACCTTAATACCAATGTTAATACAAACATTAACACGAACCTTAATACCCTTAATACCAATGTTAATACAAACCTTAATACCCTTAATACCAACGTTAATACAAACCTTAATACCAACGTTAATATGAACCTTAATACCTCAATACCAACATTAGTACGAACCTTAATGCCAATATTAGTACGAACCTTAATACCAATGTTAGTATGAACCTTAATACCAACGTTAGTACAAACCTTAATACCAATATTAATATGAACATTAACATGAACCTTAATACCCTTAATACCAACGTTAGTATAAACCTTAATACTAACGTTAATACAAACCTTAGTACTAATGTTAATACGAACCTTAATACCTCAATACCAATGTTAGTACGAATCTTAATACCAATGTTAGTACACTTAGTACTAACGTTAGTACAAACCTTAATATCAACGTTAGTACGAACTTTAATACCAATATTAATACGAATGTTAACACAAACCTTAATACCCTTAATATCAATGTTAGTATAAACCTTAATACTAACGTTAATACAAACCTTAGTACCAATATTATCATAAACCTTAATGCCCTTAATACCAACGTTAGTATGAACATTAATACCAATGTTAGTACGAACCTTAATACCTTGATACCAATGTTAGTACAAACCTTAATACCAACGTTAGTACGAACGTTAATACCAATGTTAGTATGAACCTTAATACCAATGTTAGTACAAACCTTAATACCAATGTTAGTACGAACCTTAATACCAATGTTAGTATGAACCTTAATACCAATGTTAGTACGAACCTTAATACCTTGATACCAACGTTAGTACGAACCTTAATACCTTGATACCAATGTTAATATGAACCTTAATACCAACGTTAGTACGAACCTTAATACCTTGATACCAATGTTAGTATAAACCTTAATATCTTGATACCAATGTTAGTACGAACCTTAATACCAACATTAGTACGAACCTTAATACCTTGATACCAACGTTAGTATGAATCTTAATACCTTGATACCAATGTTAGTACGAACCTTAATACCAACGTTAGTACGAACCTTAATACCAACGTTAGTATGAACCTTAATGCTAACATTAGTACAATTATTAGATTAATGTTCATATTAATGTTGCATCTGAAGTAGTGACTTATTTAAAGTAGTGCCTGGCTAAAATTGAGCTCCTGAAATTAGATCTCCATGCATGCATTAGATTTTAATTTTAGTCAGGATGCCACTTTAGATATATAAAGTGGCTACTTTAGATAAATTGCTACTTCAGATATGACATTAACATTGGTATTAAGGTTTGTACTAATGTTGGTATTAAGGTTCATACTAACGTTGGTATTAAGGTTCATATTAATATTAATGCCAATATTAGTATACAAATGTTAGTACAAATATTAGTATAAACTAAGGTTCTGCAAGTGCTGAGCACATACTATTAAAAATAGTGCTTAGGCCTGTGCCTGGCACTATGTTTTAGTAGTGCCTGTGCCTAGCACTATGTTTTAGTAATGCCTGTGCCTGACACTTGCAAAACCCTAGTATAAACATTAATATTAATATTAGTATGAACATTAGTACGAATGTTAATATTAATGTGAGTATAAACTTTTAATATTAATGTTAGTACAAATGTTAATATATATTAAAAAATATAATCTATTATTTAAATAATATAAAATATTATTAAATTAAAATAAAATATTAATATAAAATTAGCAAAATCAATGTTTTTTACATTAAATTATATAAATAATATTGTCACTTCTAATATATTATATATAAATTTTACTAAAATGCACTTATGATGTTTTACATTTATATATACATTATCTCAAAAACTGACTAATTAATTAGTACAAGATGTTCTAAGTAAAAATGGTATATATCTTCAAAAACCCTTCTTAAACTCTTTTCAAACCCTAATACTAACTTAAAAACTATCCTAATATGAAAAATTTAAGTTAAAAATTTCTATAACAAAACTTATAAAAACTTAAGAAATTTTAAAAAATATAATAAAAATATATAATAGGTGCAAAACACTATAGGTGCATTTTATAATAATTATTATATATTATAAAATAATTTAAAAAGTTATATAATAATATTAAATCTAATAAATATTATTTTAAAATATACTTATAAATATTATTTTAAAATATACTCTTATAATTATCTATACTATAATATTAAATTATAAAAATAATTTTATTATATATTAATTATAAATTTTTTTTATCAATTTGCAAATTTATAAAAAATTTTTAAAATTTAATTATTAGATAATACTTTTTTTATTATTTAAATTACATTTTATTTATTAAATAAAAATAGATAATACTTTTTTTATTATTTAAATTACATTTTATTTATTAAATAAAAATAGATAATATTTTTTTTATTATTTAAATTATATTTTATTTATTAAGTAAAAATATTTTAATATTATTTTATATATAAAATAAATTTTTTTTAATTATTTAAATTACATTTTATCTATTAAGTAAAAATATTTTTAATATTATTTTATATATAATTTTTTAAATTTTTAAAAAAATTTTATTAGCTAAAATTATAAATAAAATCTGATAAATATAATAAATATGATAATTTTTTATATAAAATATATTTATATAACAAGTTTATATAATTTATAATTAATATATTTTTAAATATTATAAATATAAAATATAGATTTAAAAGTTTATTTTTAGAATTTAGTTTTTTCATACATTTGCATAGCAATGCATTTTCTTTTATTAGCTAATTAAAATACAAACTTATTATATTATATTATACTTATATTATATTAAGTTAAAAAATAACAAATCTCAAGATCTGATTGGCTAATTAGAGAGATGCACTATTATATAAATTACAAAAAATATTTTTCTTATTATATATATATATATTATTCAAATTTTTAAATTTTAAAAAAAATTATAATATCTAATTTTTTTTTTTTGGCATTAAGGTAAGGCCTTGCATAATATCTAATTTTTATATAATAAGGATTATTAATATTACTATATAAATTATTAATTTTTTTATATAATAAACAATTTAAATAAATAATTTTTTTTATTATACCTTTTTTTTATATAATAATTTTATTTAAAATTTTGCAAGTTTATATATCAAGATTATACTAAAACATTTATATAATAGTACAAAAAATGTTTAATTTTAATTAGCTAATTAATAAATAAACTAAAAAAGTTTGATTCTTTAATTTTTTTAAAAAAATAAACCAACTTTAAACTTTCTAAAAAAATATTTAATCAAAAATAATTTAATTTTTTTTATTAATATATTATATAAATAGACAAAATTAAATATATTTATCAGATTATAAGTTAATATATAAAAATTTAAGTTATTATATTTTAATAAGATTATTAATATATATAATTTTTTTTTTTTTTTTTTTGTTATGCCAAAGTAGAAACTTTATTAAGTAATAAAAGCAATTACATTAAAGATTTCTA